ATGAAGAATCAATATTCCAGGACATGTAATTTTGCTCATGGAGGAACCTGCACATAGTCCAAGAGACAGTTGGTCAAACAGAACAAGGGGATGCTGACTGGTTTTAAATCAGGAAATATGTTCACCAGGTTGTATCTTTTCACTATACTTATTCAATCCGCATGGTGAGAAAATTATCTGACAGACTGGAATATATGAAGAAGAATGTGGCATCAGGATTAGAGGAAGACCCATTAACAGTCTGCAATATGCAGATGATACAACCTTGCTTGCTAGAATCAAAGAGGACTTAAAATATTTAATGATGAAGATCAAAGACTACAGTCTTCAGTATGGATTGCATCTCAACATAAAGAAAACAAAATTCTCACAACTAGATCAACAAATAACATCATGATAAATGGAGAAAAGACTGAAGTTGTCAAAAACTTCATTTTGCTTAGATACACAATCTATACTAATGAAAACAGCACTCATGAAATCAAACGATGTATTGCATTGGCCAAATATGCTTCAAAAGACCTCTTTACAGTGTTCAAGAACACAGATGTCAGTTTGAGGGTTAAAGTGCGCCTGACCTATGCCATTTTCCTTTCAATAGCCTCATATGCATGTGAAAGTTGGACAATGGATAAGGAAGACCATAGAAGAATCGATGTTCTTGGGTTATGGTGTTTGCAAAGAATACGAAAGTACCATGGACTGCCAGAAGAACAAACAAATCTGTTTTGGAAGAAGTACAGCCAGAATACTCCTTAGAAGGGAGGATGGCAAAACTATGTCTCTTGTACTTTGAACATGTTATCAGGAAGTAACAAGCTCTAAAAAAGGGCATTCTGTTTGATGAAGTGAGTCAGTGAAAAAGAGGAAGACCCCCCAAAAGATGGACTGATACAATGGCAGCAGTAATGGACTCAAATATAACAACAATTGCGAGGATGTTATTGGGCCAGGTAGTTCCATTCTGCTGTGCACAGTGTTGCTATAGGTTGGAACCCACTCGACATCACCTAACAACACCACACCCTGACTCTGTGTCCTTTTTACATAATTTGATGCTTCCTGCATTGTTCAACACTTTGCCCGTAGAATCCTTCCATATTGTGACTTCAGGCTTAAATTTTTCTTGAGTGATTTCAGCTTGAGAAAAGCTGAGTGTGTTCTTTCTTTGGAGTCTAACCCCAGGCACTGGCACATTTCGTTATGCTTCTTTGGTGAGTCTTTTCCACCTGCCCTTTGAAATGCTCTGGGTCTTTAGACTTGAGAAGTGACCTGGCTCTATTACCTGCTGATCCTGGGAGTCATCAGCAGCCTGTCTTCTGACCTGCTGGACCTGCCTGCCGTCTGACCTGCCATCTTGGCTCATCAGCCCTGAAGTTACATGACTCAGGGGCCTCCAGACTGACATCTGACCAAGGGACTTGGGACATTCCCACCTCTACACTGACTGAGCCATTTCCTTGATGTTGTTGTTGTTATGTGCCATGGAGTCAGTTCTAACTCATAGTGACTCCGCACAGGATTTCTGAGGCTGTAAATCTTTATGGGAGCAGAAAGCCTCATCTTTCTCCCACAGAACAGCTGGTAGTTTCGAACTGCTGACCGTGAGATTAGCAGCCTGGTTCATAAGTAACCACTATGTTACCAGAGGGCCTTTGATAGAAACCTCTTTTATATGTACATATACGTTTCACTGGTTTTGTTTCTCTAGAGAACACAACCTAAAACACCATGGTATGGTCAATCGCTTCAAATCTAAAGCACAAACCTCTTTAAAGATGTCAGTTTGAGGACTATGGTGAGCCTGACCCAAGCCATGGTATTTTCAGTAGCCTCATATGCATGTGAAAATTGGACACTGAATAAGGAAGACTAGAGATGAGTCAATGCATTTGAATTGTGGTGTTGGTGA